CGGTTTTCGAACGGCCATGGTCGCATGGTCAGTGTGCCCACTAGGGGTTTTCGAACGATCTGAGTGTGACAAAATACACACGAGTGATGTTTTCGAACACACCCCAAGACGTGGTAATGCTTGCCGCGCGGCGGAAGTTCACGCGACAGCCAATCAATATTTTGCTTTCCATAATAACCTTCTAGTTCTTACGGAAAAGCAACATATTGATTGGCTGTCGCGCGAACTTCTGTTGCGCGGCAAGCATTACCGAGTCCTGTGTGCAGAAGCCATAAAGGCCCTTGCAGAATGCCAGGCAGCAGACAATAGGAAAAGGCAATAGGAATTCGGATTAGTCAATTATTTCTATTCCCTGTTCCTATTGGCTAATGCTTATTTCTATTGCCTATAGCTTAGCATTGTGCAAGGACCTTAACTGGAGTGACGTGAGAAAGATAACAACGGATCAGTGAACAGCAGATCGAGTGTTATATCAAATATACGTCAAAATGGCTGAACTTATAGCGATCCCGTTAAAGAAACCTTCCGATATTGACGTAATAAAACCTCTTACTAATATCATAAAATCAACATACAACAGCCCAGGTAATCAAAAAGATTATACGGACGCTATTGCAGAATTCAGCAAGTTGAGGAACAATGCTTTATGGCGAGCTTTTGAAAAATATGAAAGTTCTTTGGAGGTTATTTACAGGTATGTATGACTCATCTTTAATTAACAATTGTTTCAACTCTGTAGATCGATAATTAAATATCTAGATACTACGGACTTGCAAATTCCTTTAACGAAATATATATTGCATTTATTATGCATCCTATTCTAGGATCTTAGAATCCATGTGAATTATTCGATTAAATTCTCATCAATGAAAAATATTTAATCAATTTGCTCAATGATTACTTAATTCAAACATGGTAATTATTTAGAACAACTATCCTCACCTCCGATTTTTATGAAAATAGGCTTATTTGACACGTTTTTGCGTTAAATAAAAGAATCTAGCCGAGAAAATGTCGCTTTGCCTCACGAAGCGAGATATTTAGCATTAAAGTTAGTCACATCCGAGGTTGAGGAATATGTCATCTGAACATAATGCGAATTAGGCTTGTACTGAGATGACTATTTACCAATATTGAATTACATGTTTTACTTTACTCAAAAATAGTAATTATTTCCTACTATAATTTAGGTTTTATATAAATTTTTGTTTTTGATTAAAGCAGAAAATTTAGCAGTAAATATTTACAGACCCCATAGCGCAAGCAGATTCACACGAGTGCGTTGTTGAACGCGCTATAGGATATGTAAATATTTACTGCTACATTCTCTAACCTTAACACTAAATATTTCACTTTGCAAGGCAGAGCGACATTTTTTTCTTCCAGATTCTTTTATTTTATGCAAAAACGCGTCGAATGAGCTTATTTTCATCAAAATCGAAGGTGAGGATAGATGTTTTAAATACCTCAAACATTTTAAATTTCATAATCGAACTTCAGATTTAATTTTTACAAATATTATCAGATTTCAATAAAATAATACTGGATTAGTAAATTGAGACTAATGAAAGTATGTTAAACTTCTATTTAATTTCTCTATTTACAGAATTCTATGAAAAACACTCACTCTATTTCTCATTTTTAAGCTGTAAGAATTTCCAATTCAAATCTGAAATCAGTTTAAACTATATATATGTATATATATGTATATGTATATATATATATACACACTCACATGTACATATAGTGCAAATTGACTTTAGGTTCGAATTGGAATATATATGTATAAATATAAAAATATATGTATTATATATATATATACATATGTGTGTGTGTGTGTATTTTTTATACATCAAGTTTTTGTAATATTAGACTGTTATTTTTATATCTCAAAGTCAGTTATTATTATTGATAATGGTCAGTAAAGGATCAAAATCTAATGACAAATGATATTATTATATCTCTTTGAGTATAAATAATTCAAATATTTGAAGTCTCAATATAAAATTTTAAGGCCCAGTTCCATAACCTCCAGTTAACTAAACTGGCTGGTTATTCCATTGGCCTGACCAATTGCATTTGACATTAAGAAGAGTTAATCAGAATTAACCAATCACTATTGAGACTTAATCGAGTTAAAATTAAATGGATGTTGTGGAACTTGGTTTAAATCGTTCAGATCCTTTGAATCTAATTAAAAAAAAAATATATATATATATATTTTTTTTTTTATTATATATATATATATATATATTTAAATTGAAAGGATCTGAATAACTTAAAGTTTAATGTTGAGATTTCAAATGTTTGAATTATACCTATCCGGAGAGGTAGTAAGCACATGCCATTTTGTTATAAGATTTTGATCCTTCACTATCGATAATATTAACTGACTTTAAGATATAAAAATAATAGTCTAATGTTACAAAAAGTTAATATAACCAAAAGTATCATATTTTTATGGGTGTTTTTATGGGTTATACATAAAGGAGAATATCTTTTTTAGATTTAACAAACTTTATTGACTTTAAACGGATTTATTCATTGGAGTGATCTAAACAAATATTTTAAACAATAAATACTATTATTTGACAATCAATACTTTTGTTTTAAATAATTTTATTGCTTGTTAAAAAAAACAATTGTTTTAAATTTACTTATTTTATTTAAAAAATGTCAATATTGTTTAAATACTTCTAATGAAATCTTTCTTTTTTTACGTTGATGTCAGTCTTTTCCATTTCATCATGTGTCTATCTCCTCATGGTGACTATCCATCCATTGAATACAATTCCTATTTCTTGAATAAAAGTAATTAGAAAGGAACAGGTGATACTAATAAACTATGATGATATCTTTATAACTCATACTTATAATGTACTTTTACATCGTTCAAAAAATATTGCATTGTCATACTTACTAGCAAACATTACAAATAATGCAATAACAGCTGATACGTGGTAATCATCTACTATGCCAAATTAATTATAGTAAGATAAATCACAAAAACATTTAGCAAAATAACATATATGTTGAATAAAAAAATAACAATGTTTAAAGAGAAAAGTTATCTTCAGATTTTTATCTTGACATAAAATAAAGTATAGAACATAGGATAGAAATATTATATCATAAAAAAGCAGTAAAGCATCATTTAAAAGAGGAATTATCTGAGGAAAAATAATATATCTAACCATATTTAAGTATATCTAATAGATTAGATATAAGCAAATATGAATTTTATCTTTATCCAGTCATATCTACAGAGATACCCTTATGAAAATTTACTTACGTTTTTTGAAGTTCAAGTAATTTAAAATATTATGAAGTATATTAACAGTTATGCACATAAATTTAAAGTTTATTCAAACTTATTGAATTCACACACACACTTATTGAATTCACACCTAAGTAAATTTTTGGATTATTTACTTACTATGAGATTTAAGTGCCTTGTAAATATACTTTGAGTTTACTCTTAACAAGATAATACTTAAAACTCACTTCAATTACTTAATTACCTATTAAAAACTTTTTCATATATAATTATATCCGTACAAAATCTTTTTCGAGAAAAGATAAAAAGGTGCCAAAGTTCACATGCTTTCCTGCATGAGTAGAACTATCAAATTAAAATGAAATAAGTAGTTAGGCTAAAGTATAAATGCTGTTATCTTATTTAACAAATTTATGTTAACACGAACTATTATTATTTAAATTTCTATTTTCTACAAAAAGAGTAATATAGTTAGGTCAAATAAAAATAAAACATGAAATATAATCATTTAAACTTATTCCACTTTCTACAAAAGGAGTGATATCATGTAGTTAAGCCAAGTAAAAATAAATGTAAAAACATTAAAATAAAATATTTTCATTGAAACTTCTATTTTCTACTCTATAATTACATTTACCGTTACTCATTATAACAGTAACGCTGTTACAAGTAATGTGTTATTTTCGAACCTATATGTTCACACAAATGTACTAAAGTAAAATATTTAAAAATAAATAAAATTAAAACTCATACAAAAACGGCCCAAGGGCCCGCCAAGTGTTTTTTATATGAATCTTAATTTTATTTATTTTTAAACATTTTACTTTAGTACATTTGTGCGAACATATAGTTCCCTAGCGGAAAAATTCTACAAACAACTACGTGATTTTAGTATTAATTCACGCATTTCTACAGCGAAATAGGAAATATTACAAAATACTAGGAAATACTACGAAAACTGTAAATGTCGCAATAATATATAGAGTTCCTCGTAGTAAAGTTCCACAACTTTTGAGAATATACAATTAACTTCTGCCAATCATCTAAAATTACAACTTTAATGTTGATTTACAATACCAATATTATCTTAAAAATACTAAGTGTGAGCAACATAGTTAGTTGTTATTTCTTTTAAAAATATACAACTTATTATACATTATCAGAAATTTTTAAAATTTGTTTTGTTGGAATAGTTTGTTGTAATAATTAGTATTATCCAAAAATGGAATAACAAATTACAGCTTTCTGCAATGATTTTGTAATAGCCAAAATCTGTTAAAAGATTACAATTGTATTACAACGAACATTAAACGTAGAATTTAATACGTATAACATCAAGAGTGTTAGTAAAACGTGCAATAAAATTCTATATTTTAGAATTTTAAGTTTATGCTGTGATGTGTTTTATACCGTTTATATAAACTATAGTTTATACTTCTTGTATTAGATATGATGTTTATAAATCTTGCATAAGCAAATGATCTCAACGTGTATATGTGTATATTGAATAAACGGTTTATTAAAATTTTTGCATTGATTTATAGCTTTAAGCTGTAATTAGAAATGCTGGTAGAAATTATGCGTAACCATAACTTTCTTCGTGTAATAAAACATAATTTTTACGTCTTCATATGCTCATCTACAACAAATGAAAAAACCGCGTATTTTCTTATGAATAGTTAATCTTACGAATAGTAATCTTAACATGGTTTGGTATTAAAAGCTTTTTCTTTTCATGTAGTATATCTAATTTAGTTGTAGTTTTAGCATATTTTTTGTTGTAATTAGTTGTCGTTCGACGAAGTTGTTATATCAAAAGTTGTAGAATTTTTTCGCCAGGATTACAAAGTTCGAAAATGGCACATGTAACGGCGTTACTGTTACAAGGAGTAACGATAAATGTAATTATAAGTAGAAAATAGAAGTTTCAATAAAAATATTTTATTTTAATGTTTTTACATTTATTTTTACTTAACTTAATTACATGATATCATTCCTTTTGTAGAAAGTGGAATAAGTTTAAATGATTATATTTCGTGTTTTATTTTTACTTGGCCTAATTACATAATATCATTCCTTTTGTAGAAAATAAATTAATATAATTTATGTAATAATAGTTCATGCTAACATTTTTAGTTTATATAATAATAACATTTTTAGTTTATATAATAATAGTTCGTGTTAACATTTTTAAATTTGTTAAATAAGATATTGTATTTTTAACATAAAACATTTTTATTTTATTTTTACTTAGCCTAAGTACTTTTATTTCAATTTGATAGTTCTATTCATACAGGAAAGTGTGTGAACTTGGCGCTCTTTTTACTTTTTTTATTGAAAAAGATGTTTTGTACGGATATTACATCTTTTTCACAAAACTTATGTATTAAATACTTATTATACATATATAAATTTGA